AAATATTCGTTATGTCAAGCCATTTGTAGGCCCAAAATCTACTCAAGTTTTAGAATGAATTTGGGCCAAGTCGTTTAGAACAAAGGTCTCAAATATTAAAAAGAGGAAAAAAAAATTACATTCACTAGTTTTTCTAGTGAAAAAAATAAAATATATTTTGAGTCTAGTGTTTAATGCATATGCAAGCATGGCTCAAGCCCAGTCTTGAGATGGTAACATTAGTAGACAAAAATTTTAAATTGTCAGATCATGCCATAAATTAGAATTTCACCAGGTTCATATGTCATTGCTCACACTAAAACAAATTTCACAAATAAGATATTGTGGCAAAATTATAAGATATTGTGTCTTATTAAAATAAAATAAATTAAGATATACAGTCAAATAAATTGATGACAGATGTTTTATTTAAATTACATATAATATGTCAAAATCATATGACTTGATTAAACTATACTAGAATATTCCTTCAAAGATATCTCTTTCCTTTGTTTATAAATAGTGACATTCATCATGAAGAGAAAACCACAACTTCATAGAGAAGCACAAATTCCTTATTGCAATTGCATCTCCCAACTTTTCTCTCCTCGAGATCAAGTTTCATTCAAGCCTATCAAGATCTACATCAATTAGAAGACTGAATCAAAGAATTACTTCAAATTTTTTTGTTTACTCAAAAGTTATACCCACAAATTTTATATTAATACAAATATTTTTTTATAATTTTTCTTATTCATCTTATTTTTAGAAATATAATTATTGTACACAAATATATTGACTTCCATCACTTAACATGCCATCAATAATTTAACTTCCTTTTTCCTCTTGCTATTCCTAGTCTTTGTAGCTTCACCTTTCTAATTGGTACAAATGCATCTACTTTTTTACACTACTACTTACTTTAGAAGTTACAAGGATGCTCATGATTTCATCCCTAGTCCATACTTTATGTTCCTCATTCTAGAATGCTCCACTTTAATCAAAACTCCAATAAGGTTTGATGTGATATGAGCTTGGGTGCAAAAATACAATTTGATATTTTAGGCAACACAAAATTATATGTTCTTGACATAACTAATTACATATACTGTAGATGTTAATAATCAAGTGCAAATAACTAATTACAACAATAAATGCTCACTAAATCTTCAAATATCTAAACTAAAAATATGAATTGGTTAATTTTATGGAAAGAAAAACTCATCTAGTCTCTGGTTTTATCTTCCTAAATGGAGGCTAACCTTCATGAGGGGAGAATGGAGAGTGGTTTGAGGGTTTGTGTATTTTTGGGATGTTTTCATTAATGGCGTATCGGTAACTAAAGCAAAAAAGAAAAATTATACATACCTAATACATATATGATTGCTCTCTTTCAAATGAGAAACGCTTGGAAGGTATAATTCTAGAGCCTGTCACATAGAATACAGCAACCAAAGCCTAGGCAGCAATTGTGCCATGGATTGTTCACCCATTGTGGAATATTGGTGGAGGCTTTTGTCAGTTGAAGTTATTCTTTCCAAGGCATAAAGGGGAGACTAGAAATGGGAAAGGAAGTTTTTGATGAAAACCTTTAGGTATTGATGAAGTGAAAAAAGAGACTGTCACAATTTAAATGATTTTTTTTTATTTGTATCTTAAGGAACATTAATTGTATTTTTTATAATACATTTTTATAAAAAATATTAATATCCATATTATGTGAATGATTTTAATTAAATAATTAATAAATTTAAAATAAATTTTTATTTTTATATCAATTAATTATAAAAAAATATAATTATTATATTTTTAACTTACGTCATAAAAATATATGTTAGAAAAATATAAATTTTAAATTAAATTTATCAAATAAAAATGATAAAATCCCACCATATCACAATTTGAAATTGAATTTAGGGAAATGATTATGGGACAACCTTTTTATACCATTTTTTGATACAACTTGACATGTTATTTAAATAGTTGGTTCTTTTTATTCATGTGAGACCCGTGATATTGAATACATCCACTCATTTAATATTATGTGAAAGTTATATCAAAGGGTGGTATAAAAAGATTGTCCCTATAGACCACCCTTGAATTTAACAAAGAAAATATAACTTAATTTGAGTAGTTATAACTTAATTGAAGAGATTTGGATTGTATTGAAATCCAAAAATGATGATATCTTTTAATTTGAAATTAAATTTAAAAAATTTTGGTGATAACATAAGAAGTCTATAATTTTTAAATTTTGTTTTGTTTATAGTCATTTTCAAGTTCATTCGGCCTCAAAAAATTTTAATCTTAATAAAAACAAAATTGAATGAGTGATTTAATTTAATTTAATGGGTAAGTATTGATAAATATGGCTTTCAAAGCGATGCCTAGCTGTTTAATGGCAAAAATCAACATTTAGTTCATCATCTTACAAAATTAATAGGTTTAGTTTCCCATCTTATAACATAACAATTTTAGCTTTTTATCTTACAAAGTTAGTAATTTTAAGCCATTCACCTTACAAAGTTGGTAGGTTTTAACCTTTTACCTTATATTATGATATTTTTAACCTCTTACCAATATGAATTAAAGAAAATAACCTTTACCTAACATTAGGTTACAACGTTCTGTTAGTTGACTATTAACATCCATTAGCATTTTGTTATAAAAAACATGAAATTTAAATTTAATTTTATTTATTAGTTCCATTAACGGAATGCTAACGGATGCTAACAGTCAACTAACAGAACTAACAGTCAATTAACAAAATTAACAGTCAGCTAATAAAACTAATAGAATATTATAACTTGATGTTAAATATGGGTTATTTTCTTCAATTCATACATATAAGGGGCTAAAAGTGTTATAATATAAGATGATGAGTTAAAACTTATCAACTTTGTAAGGTGAGGGGTTCAAACATACCAACTTTATAACGTAAAGGGTTAAAAGTGTCATATTTAAGGTTAGGGGTTAAAACCTAACAATTTTGTAAGGTGAGGCGCTCAAGTTGGTTTTAGCCGCCGTTTAACTATAAAGGCTGAAAACTAAGTTAAATCTCTAATTTGTCCCTACTTTCCGAAGCTTATAGAGAAATACTACTTGAAAGGGAAGGCAGAGATTCGGATAGAAGCAAAGCACCCTAACTTCAAAATCAAAATCATAGCTTATTTCACGGTCGGAGCTGCCGTTTATCTGGTGAGTGTATATGTAGAGGTTAGCTGAATTTTCTGTTTTTGATTCTTTTTTTGAATGGGGTTTTGAGGTTTTGAAATTCGTATTTTACCTTGGATCACCTTGACAATGTTCTCATCTTCATAGTTTATTCTTTGGGTTTATTCGGATAGAAACATGGGAAAGAAGCGACAAAAGCAAGGAGAGCTGCAAAAACAGAACCCTAATGTTGCTGAAGCCACGAGGATTCGTATATCCCAGATACTGGAGAAGTTTCGCGAAGCAAGAGATGAAGGTAAAGATTCAGTTTGACATGGGAACGAAAGATTAGTAATGTGTATTACTCTTGATTGGAAAGGACTGTACTGAAGGATTTTGTGCATTTCAAATGGTGGATATTGTTACCATTTAAAAGGCTCATTTGAACGGACGCCTAACGTTTGTTTCCAGCTGAATTATTATGAGTTAGTGACTGGATTTAATTGCATAATACCAATGTCTAGATGGTTGAAAGTTCTTGAATTGCTATTTGCTACCCATTGCATTTGCATTTCACTTTATATGTATACAATTTCTAGCATCTGTTCCTTCATTCCAAAATACTGCATCTTGTTCTTCACTTCTTTAGTTTAACATATGAGTTTCTGGATGCTTCATGTAGTGTATTCATTTGAAGCCAACTTGTCTAATCATGAACGAGCAGTGGTGCATGAAGTGTGTCGAAAAATGGGTATGAAATCTAAAAGCTCCGGGTAAGTCTTAATTTCAATGTTTGTGCTATATATATGAAAACTTTTAAACTTGGACTGTATGAACTACTAATTGAAGTCCTTTAAACTTAGGTTTTATTTCTTCAAAAGGCCACTGTAGATTTCTCACCTAAATTTATTGTCAGCATTTTCATCTTCAAATGTTGTTTCTAATGAGCCTTAACATTTTGTACTTCTAGGCGTGGAAATCAACGGCGTGTCTCTGTTTACAAAACTAAAAAGCAGACTGAGGCTGTGATTGGGAGGGATGGTCTCACGTGTGTGAAATTTTCAGAAGAGGCAAAAGTTGTTTTGCAGGACTTATTTGCACGTTATCCACCTGACAATGATGAACTTGGAAAGTATGGTGGAAAGATTGATAAATTACGACGAAAGAAGGATGATATTTTCTGTAAGCCATTAATGAACAAGGCAGAGATTTCAAGGAAAGCAGAATTGCTTGCTTCTAGGATAGAAAGCACTAAAAACTTGAGACAGGTTGTTCCCTATCTTATGCAGATCTTCATGATATTCTGTCTTTGATGGTGCCTTTTCTTTAACATTTTACATTTAGCAAAAGAAAAATCTTGTAATGCCCAATATTAGTGCATATATTAAAGGCTTTTTGGAATCTTTCTTGCAGATTGTTGAGGTGAGGTCAAAGCTTCCAATTGCATCTTTCAGGGAAATCATTACATCCACAGTAGAATCTCACCAGGTTATTATTTTTATTGTCTTATGTAATATATAATTTATAATAAAGTTTTATTGTATTGGTTCAATGGTTCCTCTATTGCCGATTTTAGTAACAACTAGCTTTCGGTATTAACTTGGTTATTTATGCTCACTCAATATTTGCCTTCTCCTTTTTTTTAGTGGAGTTCCTCTTGTACTTATTGTTCATTCAATTCCAAATGCAGGTTGTACTTATTTCTGGTGAGACCGGCTGCGGAAAGACCACTCAGGTTACCCATTCTTTGTTATATTATTATTTATGTTATATACAATATAATGCATCAGAATCTCCCTTCCTTTTTATTTTTATTTTTATTTATTTATTTTTTTGATTTTATGGTTCATATAATTTTACTGTGCAGAGTGTAGGAATGAAATTACAAATGATTGGCAAAGGAATATTTTAATTTTATGTTTTTGAATCATTTAATCCTATTTGATATCTTCATTGTTACCATGTTTAAAATTAGAATGGTGAGCCTTTATTTCTTAGTTCCAGATATGGCACAGCATGCTATTTAGAATCTTCTAAGTTCTCACCTTCTCTGCTGGGATAATTTGGTAATTGGTTTGGCAAGTGGATCTGAATGCCTTGTTAGTTGCATAACTTTAGAGGTAGGTAGCTTTCATTTGTCAGTTTTGTGCCTGAAATCTAACCAAATAATTAGCACGGAAGTCAGTTCAGGCTTATTTTGATTACAAACAATTTTTTTTATAAATCTAGATAAATCCAATGGAGATCAAAAAAAAAAAAAAAAAAAAAAAAAAAGAAGAAAAGAATAAAGTGAAAGGGAAGTAATAAATTCTTCCATTAATGGCTCATTTTAGTTCTATTGTCTGGGTTATTATAAATTTCATGTTTCAGAGTTGTTTTACTGACTTCTTGTGGCAGTCGTTGTCATTCTGGTTGGAGCTTTGGAGCCAGAATAAATGAGTTCCTGAGTTGTTTATATTGACGTAAGCTATGGATTAGGTTTATCGTGTGTTGCAATGTTGCATTAGGGACAATGACTAGGTAGAAGTTTTGGTTGGTGGGGTTGGCCAATAATGGTAGAAAAATAGTCCTCTATAAAGATAAAATTTTTCAAAACCAAGCTACATTAATTTGTTATTGCAAATGGTAATTCATTATTATCACTTACAATATAATGTTCAATACAAATTTAATATTGCAGCAGAAAAGGTGTATATTATATAATTCAGTAAAATTTAATTATCCGTACAACATTTTGATATTGTAGTCCTACTAAAATTAGTTTTATACTAATTATACAAAACCAACCTTAAATTCTGATTATGATGACTGTTGTCTTTTATTGTCATCTCTTCCTCTTTTTTTTTTTTTAATAAAGGTCTATTCTTTCACTGTTTCTTTAAGAAAAGAAAAACTAACTATAGAAGAATTTTATTTGAGATTTAGGGGTGTTCAATATAGTTTCTGGAGTAAACCAGTAGCTCCTGGCCTCAACATTAAACTAAGTTTTTATATGATTTCTTTGGTATTGTTGGAGACCAGCCAATTTGTCATGCCTCCACCAAATAACATTTCAGAAAAGCTTCTTTGAGCTGCTGTTGGACCTGAGAAAAATTGCACCTGATTCAAAAATCCAACCAAATCCACCTGCCATGGGTAGGGTCATGGGTCTAAGGCATTAATCTGGAATCTGATATGACCTGGACCAAAATTACTAGGATCTAACTGGGTTGGGTCCGGTCAAGTTGGGTCAGGTCAACCCAAAGTGACCCAACTAAAATTAATTAATTTTTTTCAAATTAAAATTTTGATTAATTATACTTTTAATTTTAATTTTTAAGTATAAAATAAAATTAAATACTGTAAAATGGTTATTATTTATTAGATTATTAAAGTTAATATTAATTTTTTGATGAAACAATTAATTAATATTAATTTTTTAACAAATAGAGAAAATATTGAAAAATTTTAATTTTTTAAAAGTTGTATCCATCCAACCCAATCCGAGACCTGTGTGGGTGTGTGACAGTCAACCACCTTTAACATGAAATTTGAAATGATCCAACCTAATAAACCCTAAATCCAAGGTGACCCAATCCAAATCCACCTGATCTGACTTGTTTGCCAGGTCTAGTTGCTGTTGGACCCAAATGGCTAGATGCTAAGAATTTTTATTTTGAGAATAATATTCTTTTTTTTGTAGTCAATTTTATTATTTATTATTATTATTAAATTACATTAGAAAGGAAATGGAGAGGGGAAAAACTAACAAACTTACTAACCCAGGTTATGTTGTCATTTCAATCTCAATGGCAATACCTTGTGCATTTACTTCCTGAATGAGGTTTCTTTTAGCTGAAAGTAAAAATAATTACATTTTATGAATGTTCTTGTCTATTCCCAACTTTTGGCATAAGGAGCCTGTTTTGAACCTCCATCAAATGCAATATTGGTTTGGTTTGTGTGATTGATATATATTTCATCTAAGGGGAGAGGGTTGAAGAGAGGGGGGGGGAGGGGGGGTTGGGAACTTGCATGTTTAGCCAGATAGAAAGTTGTATGCTAAGGCTTTGTTTAGTATGATTATGATTTTGAGTTTTTGGTTTTGGTTTTGGTTTTTAAAAATTTAGAAACCATAAAATAAAATTAAGAAGTTTTATAAATTTATAAATTAAGTTTAAAGTTTAATAAATTATAAATTAATTAAGTTGCCAATTTCAATTTTTGATTTTGGTTTTCAATTGTTAATTTAATTGTTTAGATTTTGAAAACCAAAACCAAAAGCCACAACCATATTAAATGTAGCCCAAGTTAATTGTCCTTTTTCATTGGTCTAACCTTTTTCCTTCCCAACTTGTTTGAGAGTGTTTAATGCTGGTTCATCCTAATAAGAATCTCTAATTTATTTGAATTCCTTTATCTTGTTGTGGTTACAAATTACATTATTACTGTTGCCTTACCTTTGATTGCCAAGCATTGATAAGTCAAGCAATATTTGGAATCTAAATTGTTGACATTCTACTAAATACATATCTTTAAGATCCTTTTGAGGGTAATTTTGTCTTCTTCTTATTTTATTTTTTTCATATATGCCAGGTTCCACAGTTTCTTTTGGACAATATGTGGGGTAAGGGTGAAGCTTGTAAAATTGTGTGTACTCAACCTCGACGTATCTCTGCAACATCAGGTGAGCAAAAATCCTGCCCTCAGTTTTCTTGTTTTATTTTGGACTTCCTTTTTTCTTTTTATGATCTGCTTTTAAACTGTCAACATTTTGTATTGTCTTTGGGGGTTTTTTTTTTAATTTTTTTTTTAATTTTTATTTTTATTATTTTTAGTTTCTGAGAGGATTGCTTATGAAAGGGGAGAAAATGTTGGAAATGATATTGGATACAAGGTATTTTTCATGAACTTTTCTGATATGCAGGTTCAATGCCTCATATAACTTCGTTAAAAACAAGTAAAACGATGCAATTTCATAACAAATAAGTGTTTACTCCTCTCTTCACCCTCCAGTATGTGAAATGATGAAGCAGGAGAGTAATTCCTTGTGGAAAACATAAGGTTATTGGCACAGATTTCTTGCTTTTCTGCATATTCTCAGTGGAGCTTGTTGCTGTTTATCCTCAGTTCAATGTATTGATTGATTCTTGTTGGACATGTAATAACTTCATTATAATTAATAATAGCGAATCATTAATCTCATGCAGATTGCATTATGGAGAAAAAAAACTGAAGTATCTATGTTTTTTCACTAAATATTGCTAACTGATTTTTGGCAACTTTTACATTGTTACTGGGGACTTACACCTCTATGATGATGCCAGATTCGCTTGGAAAGCAAAGGTGGTCGCCACTCTTCAATTGTGTTCTGCACAAATGGTGTTCTATTGAGGGTGCTGGTTTCAAAAGGCAGCAGTAGGTTCAACATAGAAGCTTCTAATAACCATGCAAAGCCAGATGTTTCTGACATAACTCACATTATTGTGGTAATTAACTTGCTTTGTCTGTTGATCTTCTCAATATATATTTTTAAGATATGTTTTTTGGGTAAATTCCATTGAATAATCTTTTTCTGGAATGTGCACCTCTTAAATTTTAAATTGTCAAACTAAAGCAAAATCAAGGATGATCTGTCCACTGTGAAGATTAATAGGATGAAATGTTTGGGATGAGGATGCTTCATCATCTCAGTGATACTGTGAAATTAAATGGAAAGTTCTATGTCAGATTGATAACATGGAGAAGAAAACATAAACTATAACCGTTTCATGTCAATAGCATTTTATTGGTAAACGCCAATAATTTGACTTGCCAACTGGCTTTTTTCTAAGAATGAATCAATCTTAACATCTTTACACCTTGTCTGGATAGAAAAATGACAGTCAGAACAAATTAAAACATCCACATTA